GCCATGATTCAGGAGGCTCTGGCTTCTCTGGACAGCAACAATGAAGGTTACATATTAAAATCCTAGGAGCTCAAGAATAAAATTGAAAGTATCAGCTGATGGGTCCTATACATTCATTACAAAGAACACCAAGCTCTGTAAACCTCTTGGGGTGGTGGAAGGGGAGAGGAGGAGAAGCAAAGTGCTGACCTTGAGACCAGTCTTAGGTTAAGGATATTAGGTTGGTGGGATCTTCCAAATCTGTAGACAGGGTGTTATCTTTGATTTGGATCTCTCTCAGCCCTCACATATATGAAATATCCAAGTCTTGGAGATTCTTCCTGACTAACATCTCATAAATATCCATACTGTTAAAAATACCGTTCAGGCTTTTATCCACAGTATCCTTCTCTGCATGCGTGCTCATGCTCAAGTACATCTAGAATGCTGTGTAAAGACACATTTTCTTATCCTGTTACTTTGACATGGTACCTCTCTGTGTGTATCCCTTGTTTGGCTCCCTGTTCTCCATTGTCTCGCACCTAAGCTACCTGCCTTGACTTTTAAAGTCTTTCCTGGCTTGTCCACTGTCTTGACTTATGGCTTCCTTGGACTGCATCATGTTTGTCCTTGGTAGCAATCTGTTGTCTAGTCTTATACTTACACTTTAACTTTTTGGGGAAGGGACCATTTTCTTGTTCATCTGTGCATTGCTTAGAACAATAAGGTCTTAGTCCATAACTAGAGTTTCCAGGTGCTTTAGTAATACCAGCCATCAATAAATAATATTTCTTTATCTCCACACTGGGTTAAGGAGCATGGAAGAGATAGTGACAGCTTCCCAGCAGTCTCAGTGACTGTCCTCTCTAATGAAGGGGGCTGGCTGTAGTTAACCTTTGGGAACACCAGTTATACAGTCTACATAGTTCTGATGAGTGGGTTCTATATTATTTTACACCTAATAAAAGGGCTGTGCATCCCACATTGCTGCATAAATAATAACCAGCACCTGGGTGTGGACAAATGTACACTTGTAGTTGATTCACAATGGGAAGGGGAGCTGCCTAGGACTATGCAGCACTTGTTACACTTTAACTTGTTCTGTGTGCAGATTCTGTAGCAACACAAGCACAGCAAACTACTCCAATTTGAACTCTGCTTTCTCCAAGAGCAAAGTTGGGGTGATTTTGCTTGCTTGTATCACTACAGGCTTACACACATGTAACAGTTACAGTGTGATAGTGGCTGCACAAAACTGACCAGCAACTTCCTCCTCTGCTCCCAACTACCTTTTGAAACCTATATATAATATAGGTTATACTATGTATAATCTATATTGGGGCAGGCAAAATGCGGCCTGTGGGCCACAGGCGGCCCACCAGGCCATTCTATCTGGCCCATGGGGCCCCTACAAAATTTAGACAATTAATATTTATCTGCCCCTGGCTGCCTATCATGCGGCCCTCGATGGCTTGCCAAAACTCAGTAAGTGGCCCTCCGCCCAAAATAATTGCCCGCCCCTGATCTATTTATAAGTAATATACATATATACACTTACATACATAAGTGTATGTTTGTCCATAGTCTAGTAGGGTGTGCCATGGTACTCTGCCTATGATGAGGAGGGATTCCCATTCATCACTCAGCTGCTGTTTCCCTATGATTTGAAAGAGGGAATGATGAACTCAAAAAGGAGTCTTATCCAGTCTTTCTTAGCAGACGAATTAGGATTACAGCACACACTTATAAGAGTGGGAGTGTGAAGCAATGCAGGGAGGAAGGAGATGTAATTAAGAGAAATCCAGGAATAAGGCAGACCCCCAAGAATGGCCTGGGGGAAAGACACTGATGAAACTGATCTGGGCTAGGATTATAATAAGCCTACAGAAAATGGATCATTTGGTAATGTTAACTTGCTTAGAGAGATTTATCTGTCTACAAATTTGCCAGATTTCTCAGAAATTTGATGAGGCCAGAGATATATTAGGCATTGAAGATAATATAATTATCTAAAAAATGTTTAACAGACAGCTTTACTGGCGGTTGTCTTGTGGCATCCTCATCTCTCATGGCAGTAGGTGCTGAGGTGTTATAATAGGAGAATTAATCTAAACTTTCCTAAACAGTTGCACATTGTGTACAATTGCAGATTTAGAAGAACTCTGCACATTAAAACAATGTAACAGTAAAGAAGCAAAAACCTCTGTAGTTCTTTGAGGTTAACAATTAACAGGGAAAAATGCAATAGGTGCATGCTCCTTTAGCTTTTGCAGGAGCAAGTTTGAGAATTAGAATGAAAAAACTGCCTCCAAGAATAGAAGTTACAAGGATGGTCATCTCAGTCCGAAATGAGACTGGGGATCAACGTGCATAACAGGTTTATGGGTGGATGTGCGCTTTTTACAGATGGGTCATTTCATGCTTTGGAGCCTCACTGAGCTGCTTTTTAAAAATATATATCTGATCAGGACAACCCCTATTAAATCACAAAGCAGTTATTTTAGGAGATTGGCTGGAAATAAACTTGTTTCTGTGCTAATTTTTTCTCTTGGCAGAACCAATTCATTCTTGGCCTTCACAAGCTGGTCTTTTACATTTGATTTAGAATTGGTTTGGGGCCTCTGGGAATCTCTGATGGCAGCCTCCCTAATGTAGTGTCAGCACAAAGAAAGAAAGTCAGTTTCACTTAGTTCCTGTTGTCTAGGATCTCATTTGGATTTTCACTCACATACTTATTCTCTTCATATCAATGCATCTTCTGGTCTTTAGTCACATTAGACAATGAGACAAGACCTTGGTAAGCCAGCCTTCTTGTTTTCTGTTAGGGTCACTAGAACACAAAGTCATCTTTTTCTATGCCATCTGCTCTTGAAATCATCATCTTCCTTTACAAGCATGACAGGTAATCTTAGGTGTGGATGAAAATAAAAGGTCAGCATGGGGTAGGCCTGTTTCAGTTTGTCAGAAATTTGACAGAAATACTCTTCAACAGCTAAAGAAGGGGCAAAAGTTGGTTATAGAGATCTAGTAAGGGTAATTTTGCTGCAAGAAGTGGCCAAACACCAGCTTTATAGTAGTTGTTTCCAAGAAAATTCAGCCAATATAAAAAGTCATGCCGTACTTCCTCAGCACACCAAGCTAATCAATTTTTTTATACTCATGCTCAGCCCTGGCTCCTACTTAACTGTGGTGAAGTTCAAGATGCTGGTTACTACCTCAGAACAAAATAAAAAAACCCCACAAAGCATAACCTAGTATCTCCATTACAGTCTGCGCTTGTCTGGAAAGCCTAACTACTCTAAAGTATTATTCAGAAAAGGTAAAATCATGTAAGAGATCAAGCCTCTGGGAGAAATAAAACAATTTATGTTTGAGCACTTAAAGATAGTGCCATAGTGTATTAGCAAAAGGGGGCTGAATTCAGATTTTGTGGGCAACCTTTATTCTTCCATTTCCAGATTTCAGCATTTGAATTTTTCATGAAAGTTCTTCAATGTTTTTTTTTTGTAATTTGCTACTGTTATTATAGTAAGCATACAAAAATCTGCATTATACTACCACTACAAACATCCTGCAAGAGTTTCTCCGTTTGCTGGTTACAAAACAAGGGGATAGGCAAGGATTTCTTATGGTGGTATCTTTTATTGGGCCAACTATGTAGATGGGATAAAGTTAGACAGCTCTTGAATGCAAGACATTCTTCATCAGGTCTCTAATCACAGGAACCTGGCATAGCATGGTGAAAAAACATAAAGAAAAAAAACAGTGGATGCATTGGTTTCTTTTTTCAAGCAAAACAGCTTTTGTCTAACTCAAGAAAGGATGCAGCATGGCTTGGTAAAAAAAAGTTTGATAGTGAGCATACATAGCTAGAAAGAGATGTATTTTGCTTCAGTAAAGCATTCCAAGGAGATCACTTGATAACATAGCACAGTATTTAACTTTCATCATTATTAAGTGGAGGTTGCAGACTGCCCAGTCTATGCAAATGTAGCTTTTCTCCTTGGAGTATTGGCAGCCATCCTAGCTGAACCACCCAGGATTCCTCCCTTTCATGCAGCCTGAAAACTATCAGAAACAGCTGCCAAACTACATTTCCCAGCTTATGTTGCTCTTCTAGTCCGAGGGCCAGGCTGGGTAGCAACACATTTTTACTTGGTTATGCAATAGCACAGGGAAAACCAATAAAGCCTTAACCATTGCAGAGCTCCAGCTGCTGGGGTTGCCCTAAAACTAACTACTGAGATTGTATTTGTTTAGGACCACATTGTACCTTGTGAGCTCAGCATAGAACAAGTTTTGTTCTTTGTCTCAGTGATAATCACACCAAGTGTTGTTTAGGGTGATGCAAATTGAGAATTATGTTTCAGGAACAGAACACAGAAGATTCAGTAACTGAGTCAGTTGTATGAACTATGCAGAAGAATGCATAGTTCATACAGCTGACTGTCTCCCTGAAATAGGAGAGGCTTCTCTTACAGGCCAAATTTATTCTAGCCTGAGGTGACAGAAAACTAAATTCTTTCC